GTATATATATGTGTGTATGTATGTATGCATGTATGTATGTATGTATGCATGTATGTATGTATATATTTATATATTTATATATTTTATATATATATTATTATGTTATTATATTTATATATATTATGTTATAATATATATATATATATATATATATATATATATATAAACACGCATGTTTTCAGCAAGGGGCCAGAGTAGTCCATTAGATGCTTTGGTTCTTCGGAGTGAGAATCATAGAAACCTTGCTGTATCGTGTGTGTGTGTGTGTGTGTGTGTGTATTCATGTGCGCAGTGTTTCTCCCACCCCTTGTGTGTGGTAGTCCATTGGGAAGTAGGTTATCTGCTGCACCACATGTCGTGGGAGTGCAGCTGTCTGTGCTTCACAATAGCGACCGTCTGGCAGGTCTATGGTCAGGGTACCTTTCTGTGAGCTTTGAATGGCGTTTATAGCGTTTGAATCATATCTCCTTCCTTCAATTCATCTCCGCTCTAATATCCTCTGCTCTATTGTATTGCATTGGAGTACTATGGCCATTTTCGGTACAAATGCGTCTCTGTCGATTCCTATAGGCCGCATAGCCCACTAAACCCTAAAACCCCAAAACCCCATAGCCCACATATCTATTCTTTAGCCTCGCCTAGAAATAACGTGTCGAAAAACAGTCCCAAATAGGTGTACTATATATGGGAATGAAAACAGGTTTAAATAGGTCTACTATATATGGTAATCAACTCTCTACATACTCATACCTACTTGTGAACAGCCGCATTCCCGTGGAGTATAGTGAGGGACAATCAGCGCTGCGCCGGTTTTTCCTAACGGCTATGGACGTTGGCAATGTTTTCGATCCTGCGCACTCGGTATGTGACTTCACACCTCAACGGGATGAGGTGTCAATAAGGGACTGTATGGGTACATTTGTATATATATATATATATATATAAATGGGGTTTCAGTAGTTTACCTACCCGCTCGTGTGTTTGTATATGCGTACTGCTTGTATTTTCATATATATATATACTAATCGTATCACTACACACACACACACGTCATGTCAGATGTTATCTGATCGGGGGGCTGTGGTGGTTGACATTGAGAGCGTGCTGAGTGAGGCGATACAAGCACAGGGACAAACGAATGTGCCGTTAGAGCAACTGGACGCGTGGAATGCGTATCTGCGCCTACTAATAGTCCAGAATTGCAAGGTAGGTGCATGCTGTGTTGATTGGTTTATCCCAGCAATAGGCTAGTCACTATACACACATACTTTGATTCACACTACACACGCATATTTTAATTCACACTACACACGCATACTTCAATTCACACTCCATATTCAATTCACACTACACACGTATACTTTC